GATTCAATTTAAAAATAAAAATGTGTCTACATACTAACATTTACACAAGTGACATTAGCTACCTTTTCATTTAGAAGTGACCAAAGGTGACAGCGCTGTTAAAATGTTGAGTCTAGAAAAGTGGCACTGCATAGGGCGCCAGGCACATCTCCCTTCGGTGGGTCACCAGCGCACCAACAGGCTTTGGGGAGGGGACTCCTGGTCCTAATCACAGCCCGAGGGTCAGATTTGTGTTTTATTCATTCTTGGAGACGCTTAAACCTGCCGTATACTAGGACTGTATACAGCAATTGCTTAATGTTGAACGAGTGAATGATCAACCCAAGGAATCAAGTCCCAGCTGAACTTGGATCCGTCCTCAGTTATTTGCAGAGTGCTCACGTGGAAAATAGATCTGCTCTTGGCCCTCCCAGTGGGAGCAGAGCGAGTCTGGATATAGGGCAAATATGTCGAGGAGGCCGATGTAGGCACAGGATGGAAGAGACTCTTAGAGTCATTTCCCCCCCCCCCCCCCCCCCCATGCTTCCTGGAATCCACTCCCAGCCTTTTTGTCTCCCTGCCCTGAGGCAGATGGCTTCTTGCTCCTTGATTCCTTTAGGTTTCTTTGAAGAGCGACCATCGCACACTAGTTGGTTTGGGTATCATTCCCTGATGCCCGACACTCCCCGCTCTCTGCCGTGGCTCTAGCTTGCACCAGAGAGAATCTATGGGATTTGTTGACAGTCAGACATTCAGCATAAAGGCTCAAGTTTGATTTTTTTTTTTAATCAACGCCAGTTCCAGGGACTAATAGTGTCTGGTACTTAGTGGGTGCTCAATAAATATCAGCTGGTGAAAACAATCATGAGGGATGTGAAGAATGGACCGTGGAATCTTGTGAGGCTATGGTTACACATGGACTTCAGCAGCACTTCACAAGATGGAGGCCAGGGCTGTGGAGTTGTGGGAGGCAGTACACTAGAGAAATTCCAGAAGGCCAGTCCACATAGCCTCCATGTGCTTGGACTGCTCTTATTGGCCTTTGATCTCGACAGTTCCCAGAACTGTGCCTTCCTGATGAACCTCCACCCCCATGCTCGTCAGGGGAGTAAAGGTGGTGGCCTGCTGTCTTTTATGTTGCTATGAAGATGAAAGGAAGCAAGAAATGTGGTATGCCTGTTAGGTAGCATAGACTGGGTACACTTGTAAAATTCTTTGTTACAGTACTATTTTCTATTCGCTTATTTGTATTTATTTAGGTTTTTTTTTTTTTCTGTTTTGGGACAGTCTCATGAAGCTCAGGCTGGCGTTGAACTAAGTATGTCTCTGAGGATGACTTTGAACTTCAGACTCTCCTAGCTTTGCCTCCTAGGTGCTGGGATTACAAGCATGCACCTCCACTCATCATTCCTATTTATTTATTTTCTTCGAGCCAATGGCTTGTGCCTGGCATCTTGGCATTGAACGTCTTCGGCCATTAATTTTTCTTGAGTTACCGAGTGACGCAGCTGTCACTTGTCTTTGCACCCAGCCCTCCTTCCCCTCCTGGGGTGGCTGGTCTCTGAGGTCATTGTGTTATGCTTATTTCAGTGTCAACATGCACTTTCTCTAAGCTTTCAGTTAATTGAGCTTTGCTGGAGACATTCCTATCTAAGATGTCATTCACCGTCTCTCTCAGTCAGGGTCTAGTGCATGGAAAAGAGAAGATGGGAATATAACACTATTGTCCTAGGGGGAGGACAGGGTCTATGTAAATCACCCCGTTGATTTCCCCAGGCTTGGGAAGTATTGGGGAAGGCCACTGTAAGGGAGAAAACTGAGGCCCAGGGTAAGCAGGGAGCTCTCTCTACCAGCATTGCAAGCTGCTCTCCCCCGAGTCATCTAGTTAGAAACAGTGCTACCTGAGGCAGCTTAGGCTCAGGAAACGAGTAGAACACTGTTGTCCCACTTATAGCAGTGGCCTGTTTCTCAGCAGGTGGCACCATGTTTCCTTTGTCAGTGAGTGCCACACAGGTTGGGGTCATCACCTGTAACGGTCAGAGCTCACTCACACTGAGGGCTTCTCTTCACAGACAAATTGCCAACTGACAGTTCAGGATGATCATATTTCAGAAGTCGAGCTTTAATTTTCAAGCTCGTGACCAGACCTCTCTGTCAGTACTATGAAGTGGTTGTTGGTGGTTTGTAATTATTTTGGACCTGTGTTTTAATACTGTAAGAGTGATAATCTTCATAAGGTGTGGGGGTGGAACTAGCCATTTAAGAAGCTGCGTGTTCTTTTAACAGAGTATGGACAGGTCACCCTGGAAGGTGGGAGGTTCTTCACTTCTGTTCTATTACCTGAGTGGAACTGACCTGAGTTTTGTCCTTTTCAAGCTATGTAAAGAGTGTATGGTCCAGGTCCTCTGCATGTGGGTGACAGTTGTGTAGCTTGGTCTGTTTGTGGGGCCCCTAGCAGTGGGACAAGGATCTGTCCCTAGTATATGAGTTGGCTTTTTGGAACTCATTCTCTATGGTGGGATGCCTTGCTCAGCCTTGATGCAGGGGGGAGGAGCTTGGCCCTGCCTCAACTTGATATGCCAGGCTTTCTTGACTCCCCATGGGAGGCCTTACCCTTTCTGGAGGGGGTGTGGAAAGGAGGTGGGGAGGGAAGGGGAGGAGAGGAGGGAGGGGAAACTGTGGTTGGTGTGTAAAATAAATAAAAAAGTATATGGTCCAGCACAAAGATATTATCATTGGTGTTTAAAGTGCTCTGCCATCCTCTGATGGAAGTGTTCGTGCTGTCCAGGGGAATGAATGCTGCATGTAGGCAGTCATTCCCTGGGACAGGCCTGCCTGGCACGTCGGATCCCATGGGAATAGACACCGAGGAAACATGACGCTGTCTCATGGGCCACATGCTTCTAGACACAAAGGAAATCTTGAGAAAGTTCCACAGAGGACAGTTCTCATGTTGCAGACTTCACGGTGGAAGACATTTTAATTTTGAAATATAAAGAGTGTTATTTATTTGTTTTTGTGATGCTGGTGCTCAAATCTGGAGACAGGTGTTTTAACAACAACTACATGCTGAGCCCAAGAACCTCTTAAACTGAATTCTTCTGGTTCTTTTGAGACCAGACTGACCCTGTTCCCAGGGCTTAGCATTCCGCAGGCTGTGTTCTAATTTCCACACCAGATAGTCCTTGGGATGGAGCTCACTGAGCCTCTTTGGGGTGTTACATATTTGGGTAGCAATTTTTCTAGTCACAGGGGTTTTTCTGTAATTAGGGCAGAAGAATCCCAGGACAGTGCATACATAGGTAACCTGTGAACACACTCAGGGGATGCTGCAAAATATAAACTATGAGATATATTTATACACAAATTACTATAGCTAGGCATGGTGGTGCACACCTTTAACCTCAGCACTCAGGAGGCAGGGGCAGGTGGATCTTTGTGAGTTCTAGGCCAGCCAGGGTGACAGTGAGACCCAGACTCAAAGACAAAACAAAGCAAAACCAAAAAAAAAAAAAAAAAAAAAAAAAAAAAAAAAAAAAAAAGACATTATTGACTAAGTTAAAATTTGGTATTCTGTTAAAAACCTTATTTAATTTTAAAGTATACAAAATAATCACATTTTAATAAATGATATTTAAGAGTTTACAAAATTATTTTAGTGACAAGCATGAAACCATCACTCTTGTTTATTGTTACAAAATAGCTTCCCAATGCCATTCTTGCTGGAGTTGCTGAGTGCCATCTTGTGAGAAGCACATTAAGCATAACGGCAATGCCAAGGTTCAACTTGCCCTAGAAGAATTATATATTGATCTAAACTCTAGTTCCTATTTTTCCAAATATCCATATTTCTGTTTCCAGTTAAGAAAGCCAGTGCTGATCAGGGAAGCAAGCAGACTTTCATAGTAGAAAAACTCAGGTTTAATCAACAGAATTTAGAGTCTAGAAGTTCCATTGGTTCTTTGAAAACAGTTAACCCCCTGCCTCCACCCCATTTTGTTTCTGCACCATTAAGTTATATGGCACGGCAGTGAAATTCCCAAAAGAACTCATGAAGTCAATGTCTTCTGATGCTGATGGCCACATCCCACTACAGAGTAGGCAAATGTCAGGAGGGAGGGAGGGGCTGGGTTAGGCTCATAGCAGGTGGCAGTAGCTGGCATATCCTCCTATCTGTCTCTTATGCGGAATGACACTTGAATTTTTTTAATTGAGGCCTCTTCTGGTCAGAAGCCAGCAATAAAAGCTTCCGGTTTGTCTCATGTGAGACAGGTTGTGAAGTTGATGCACTGTATTCAACACACCGATGATGAATACCATAGGTGACCTCTCAGCCACACTGCAGATTTCCCATAACTAAAAGGCCTGTGGTTTAAAGACCTTATGAGATCTGGTTACACACCATGTTCATATCACAAACTGAACCTTTGAAATCAGAGGAATGTATAATGGTGTCCAGATCATTTTGAGAACAAAAGAACCTATCTTATTTTAAGGCTTTCATTAAAAAAAAGAAGTACACATTGCTTGAAGCATTAAATAACTTTGTCCATTATTGCAGAAGTCTATCAAAGCAAATAACAGAACAGAGATTTTTTACTTTTAACTGGGGGCATCTTGGGGAAAGGTACTCTAAGGGATGCACAGTGAACTTTCTGGGCACCTTCTCCAGGACTGGGCTCATCTCTCTGGTCCTCAGAGAAAGAGAAACAATGTGAGATTCTTTGTTTAAACTGTGAATGTATCCTACAAGAATAGTCCTAGGAGCACGGGGTCTCAGTGGAACTGACTTTAGAACCAATTAATACAGACATAGAATTGGGCCTTTGTTTGGGAGCCTTGGGGGAAGGGAGTCCCATGGAAGCCTCTGGAGTTTCATGTGAGGCCTACAGGGACTTCAAATGGTGGCATTTAAGGTGGGAATGTCTGCCTTAGGAAATGCTGGTGGCTGAGCTTTGACAGCTAAGCACAGGTTACCTCATCCTTTCCCTCAATCTCTGCTCTAGCAGCCAGGCAATGCATTAAACTGGTCTTTTTGACTTTCCTGAACAAAATCTAATGAACAAATAGCACAATTCTGTGATATTTAGCAGGATGCAAATTGCAGACACAGCAATCATGAACACCGTGAAGACAGTCTTTTCTGTGGGCCTGGAAATGAAGCAGTCCACTGTATTGGGACAAGGCCAAGCATTGCATTTCACCAGACGCTGCATGAAGAAGCCGTTGTACATGATGTAAAAGACATACATGAAGACAGCTTCGAAGATGACCCGGAAGAAGATGCTGGTGGTGTAGGTCCACCACAGGGAGCCTTCGATACGGACCTTCTGGGTTTTGATCTCTTCAATGTCCTTAAACTCATTCTTTATCTCTCCCTTCATGAACTTCCGTTTCTTTTCATGTCTCCTGTAGGCCACGTGCATGGCTACCAGGAGGGCTGGGGTGGACACGAAGATCAGCTGCAGGGCCCAGAGCCGGATGTGAGAGATGGGGAAGTAGTGGTCGTAGCACACATTCTTGCATCCAGGCTGGAGAGTGTTGCAAACAAAATCGGCTTGCTCATCTCCCCACACCTCTTTTGCAGCTACCACCAGGATCATGATGCGGAAAATGAACAGGACGGTGAGCCAGATTTTCCCGATGCTGGTGGAGTGTTTGTTGACACCCCCCAGGATAGTCTGTAGCGTGCCCCAATCCATCTTGTCCTCTGGGTGGGTGGCACTAGAAACGACAAATGAACACAAGACAGGAATCACTCACTGGTCTGGCCAGAATCCAAGTCCTAACTCTGTTTTGGGTACAGTCTCCTCCAGGATGGTGACAACACAACCAACTTTGCCCTAGTGTGTGTAGTTCCCAAACCATCTCCAATTTTTTTTTTTTGTTCGCTTGAGCGATTCACCCAGTCTTTAGCACATAATAAAGATGTGGGCACAGAATGGACCAAAGCCAAGTACTTATTAGTCTAAAGGCTAATCCCACGTCACCTGTTTCCATTTCCATACAGGTCACTCAGCAGTCTGTGTTAGCAGCACCAAGCTTTGCAGTGTATCACAGTGACAGACACAGCTGCCCAGTTCAGATGACAGAATTTGTGAAATTCCACATGACCCAGTGCCAAATTCCCTGCAGTCTCCAAGCTGATGCTGTTTCTTTAAAATATTTTAATATGCATGGCCTTGGGAGGCAAGTCATTACTGATGCTTACATTTACATTTGAGATTCCTCAACTTAACCTTTCACTATAAGCCTTGCTTCCATCTGTGTGAGAGGAGCAGGGTCAAAAAAAAAAAAAAAAAAAAAAAAAGCCTCTTAGGTTTTTACATGCAGATCAGTGACTCCGCTGTCAAGTTGGGACTGTTTGGTTAATGCTCTGCATCTGTTTTGATATGTGTGGCAAGTGAGCTTTGCTACTGTGGACTATGGCTTTAACTTTGACATGGTTCTAAACTAAATATATTATGAAAAAATGGTAGGAAATTTAGCGTAGTGGTTCCCCAGCTACTGGTCCAAGGAACTCCGAAGCAAAACTGCCTTGGGGGACACGGTGTGTATTGACTGTGCCCTGGATGATCTATGAACCAATGGCCTTCTATTTCATCCCAGGAAAGGAACTGTCCTCACTGACTCATAGCTACACCCTGTCTGTCACAATCAACCCCTCTTCTGACAAGATCCCACCCTCCCACTAACCTCATGAGTCATTTGCTTTCCACCCTTTCCACGCTGTAATGAATCCTCTTGCTCTTACTTAAAACCATCCTGCCCTCCTGTTGTAGGCAAGTCGCATCCTGTTTCCCAGTGAACTAAGCTGTCTCAGGGTGAAAGTCCCTCCTTGCTCATGGTGGCTGCTGCAGAACACCAAGGTCTTGGTGGGACCCACTCAACTGTGCCTTGGTCAGAGGAGACAGGGCCATGGGAAGCTGACAAACACGGTGAGACACCAAGTCCTATTAAACTTGGGAAATGGAAACAGCACAGGAAGAAACAGTGGCTGAGCAGGTTCAGCCCTGACCCATTTATACCTGGACTGTTCCCTAGGGAAGCTGGTTGTCCTGAACGGCCTCACAGCTCGTTGTAGTCTGTCCCCAACAAGCAAAAGTATTGAAAGCAACAGTGTTCTAAGTTTAACAAAACAATCAGATTGGATTAGACTTTCCACTCTTCATGCCCACTCTGAGTGGAGATCAGGATACTGACTGAAATAAACATCCACACACCTGACCCAAACAAAATACAGAGCTCAAGGGTGAGTGGGACATATACCTTCACCTGCCTATAGCATCCACAGACTAGCCCAATTATTGTCAATTGAGAAAAATAAACTTCTTAATAAAATCTTCACTTGTTTATGAAAATGACTTTGTTGAGTTTGCTATGTTACCCAGGTTGACTTTTAACTCCATGAAGCTGGGGTGAAACACTTCTATAATCCCAGAACTCTGGAGGCTGAGATAGGAGGATGGTGCCAACTTGAGGAAAACTTGGGTGGCAGAGGAAGACCCTGGCTCAAAAAACAAAAACAAAACAAAACAAAACAAAAATCACCCAAAGAGAGAAAAACAAAGCAAAAACCAAACCAAATATAAACAAAACAAAAGCAAGGAAAAAGGTTGGCAGGCTTGAACAAACAAGATCAGGAAAAACACCGAGAGAAAACCAAGTCGCTGGGTCACAGGTGTGGACCCTGGCACATCTGGTTGCAGCTGCCTGTCTTAATGGCCTTTCCAAGACAAGGGAGAGGTTAAAATTTGACCTCACAAGGGGCTTGCAGTACTAAGCCAGCAGAGTGAAATCGTCAATATTCAACTGTCGTGTAGGAGGTGATCTCCCAGCCTTTGACAGGAAGGTCACAAGCAGGTCTCTACCTGGCCTGGGTCACCAGCAGATTGCCTGGAGCTCTGCCAGAGTGTGAGGGACTGTCAATCATTAGCTCCCGAAAAGGGGAAGGGAGCTTCTCAATAATAATAATAATAATAATAATAATAATAATAATAACAATAATAATATGTGAATACGAGACCCTTATTTTTCTTGAAGGGTACTTTAGGGAGCTGGCGCAACACCTCCAGAGGCTGTCCCGACCTTCACCCTTCTCAGGATTGTGACTAACTTAGCCCATAGTTTCCAAAGGACTCCGGGGTAAATGGAGGCAGGGCTGTGCCAGGCTTCTCAGGACAGTCCCAGAGACCTGGACCATTCGTCCCATTTAGACTTAATGCTCCCTTCTGGTGAGGCAGCACCGAGGGGCTGATGCAAGAGTCCCAAAGGACACGTTTCTCAGCAGCACACCTTGTGAGCCTGTGTCTGGACGCTTCCCTTCCAGCTGCAGAGCCCCACCTGGACTCAAACCCTTAAAAAACACTTAAGGAAAACGAAAAGCGATCAAAACCAACACTCGAGTGCAGGCTGGGGTCCCCTAGCTCGCGGGAGCGGCTGCAGACTCGCTTTAGGAGGCCGGCCGCGTCACCCCAGTGCTTTAGGTGGTAAAGGTCAGTGTCTTCCCACGGAGGCCTCCCGCTTAAACAAATGAAACCGAGTTTTCCTGCTAAGCTTTCGGTTAGTTAAAAAAAAAAAAAAAAAAAAAAAAAAAAAAAAAAAAAACTTTCAATGGTGGCAGACAATGCAGCCAGGAGGCCTCGAGGAAAGCAAAGAAACATTGGCAACACGTCGCAGTTGCGCGCGGAACGGCCTGGCCCCCACGCCCCTCCCCGCCGCGCGCGGTGCAGGACCTTCCCGCTCAGGTTTCCTGCCCCGTGCGCA